TTGTATGGCGCGAATAGTGAGTGGCAGCGATTGTGCCGCACTCATGTAGGTCACCATCCAATTTCTGGTAACCATAGTGATCACTGTCAGATGAATATATTTCTATTGTGTACATATATTTTTCGTATGCAAATTTTTGCTGTGCACATTTTCCCCCTTACTCTCTCTCTCTCTTTCTTCCTCTGCACACTGTTGACTAGGTCATGCACTGTCACCATCACCTGTCTCACCATCACCACACCCTTTACTGGGTCACCTTGCCGTCACACCCTTCACCATAACTCCATATTCAACACTATCAGCCACAACTGTTCTTTGACTAATCTCATGTCCACCTGTTTCACCAATAATATCGACACCATTGTCAATCTTCTTCGTCGTCACTATCATCAACACCATCATATTCACTGACATGAGCATCACCACCACCAACACCGGCACCATTATAACCATCATTATCCCCAATATCACCAATTCCGTCGTAATCACTATATCCAACACCATCACTAACACCATCACCGCCGTCATAATCACTGCCATCAGCAGAACACAAGAACAATGAGAATAATTATAATGAAGAGTATATATTAAGCAACTCTGAATATTCATTAACAGTCACCATCACCTGGCTATCTTATCACAACCTTTCACCACCACCACCATCACCACCACAACCACCACACTGCTCTCCCCCACCATCACGCCACACCTGTACCACCAGATGATCATATCGGCACAATACTCAAAGTTGGTAAACAATGGAACAGCATTTAATAACCTAATTAAGGTCCTTTCCAAGACCATCTATTTAGTTCCAGTTTGTTAATATATATATATATATATATATATATATATATATATATATATATATATATATATATATATATATATATATATATGTATATATATATATATATATATATATATATATATATATATATATATATATATATATATATATATAAAATGAGTGTTCAACGTTATAGGCCAGATGCTTGGGGCTAGCCTCACCCTACTTTGCAGGGAAATGGTCTTGGGTACGGGACGGACATAGGCTGGCCGGGGTCGTCAGAATTCAAGAGGGAATAGCATGCTTTTGGTCAAATACTGACCCTCACGACTGATTTTGGCACTGCCTGCCAGCTATGCCTGGCTAAATATTTGAAAAATACTTTAAAAAATGTATGAAAAATTATGCACTGGCCTCGGGGAAAAAGAGTAAATTTTCTAATCATCATACTTTGCCCGTAGTAGCATAAAATAGACGATCTTCTCACAGTAGCAAAGGTTTTCTCAAGCCCCGCCCCCTTATCAACGCCTATCTTCTTGAGGTTATCTTGAGATGATTTCGGGGCTTTTTTAGTGTCCCCGCGGCCCGGTCCTCGACCAGGCCTCCACCCCCAGGAAGCAGCCCGTGACAGCTGACTAACACCCAGGTACCTATTTTACTGCTAGGTAACAGGGGCATAGGGTGAAAGAAACTCTGCCCATTGTTTCTCGCCGGCGCCTGGGATCGAACCCAGGACCACAGGATCACAAGTCCAGCGTGCTATCCGCTCGGCCGACCGGCGCCTAAGATAGACTATTTTATTTTTATAATATTTCACACCTTAAATATATTATTTTAATAAGAGAGAGACAGAATGAGACGGATACTGACAGATAAGCAAAGTCACAGACAAAGATCACAGAGAAATTGGGTCGACCAGAGGTAAGAAAGAGACAGGACAGAAAAAAATTACAGTACACAGAGGCAGACAGACACAGACACAGACAGATAGGAATGGAGGCATTAGTGAGAATGGGGGAGAAGGAGGGGGATGTTTGAAGAGAGGGGGAGATAGGTGGAGAGGGAAAAGGGAGGGATTCACCTAGTTGTATTCACTTAGTTGTGCTTGCGGGGGTTGAGCTCTGCTCTTTCGGCCCGGCTCTCAACTGTCAATCAACTGTTACTAACTACTATTTTTTTCCACACACACACACACCCAGGAAGCGGCCCGTGACAGCTGACTAACTCCCAGGTACTTATTTACTGCTAGGTAACAGGTGCATCAGGGTGAAAGAAACTGCCCATCGTTTCTCGCCGGCGCCGGGAATCGAACCCGGGCCACAGGATCACGTGTCCAACGTGCTATCACAAGTCACCGGCACCACAAGTGTGTGTGAGAGAAGCGAGTAGTGGAACACGCAGCATCAACACACTTGGTGAAGCGTACCAAAAAAGAGAGATTGTCACCAGCAACACTAATGCCGGAATTAAGAGGACTGAGCTACGTGGACATTTTAAGCCAACTTACTCTCACAAGCCTAAACGAGACCAAGAACAGAGGGGATATGGTCTCAGCATACAAAATACTGAGGGGAGGAATAGATAAGGTGAACAGAGACGGCTTCTTTAAATTGAGAGGCTACATAGCCTTCCTGGCCTGGTGCCCTCTTTTAATAATTACTTACTTTAAATTGAGAGATAACAGAGAGAGGACATAGGTGGAAGTTGGAGACACAAATGAGTCAATTGATTGCTGAAGATTAAGCCACCCAAAAGGTGGCACGGGCATGAATAGCCCGTAAATAAATGAGTCTTTAGAAATGTGAACAAATCATCATTATCGCCACCATCATCACCACAACCAAAACTGCTCCCCACTCTCCACAGTCACCACCTTTGTTGTCTCCCACCACCATTTCTAGATCCACCACTACCACCATTGGGGGACTCATACTAACACCACCATCGAGGCTAGTAGGCAGGGCATAGAGAGCTAGACCCCACTTCCCCATAGACACTATTAGGTAAACAAATCCACAAGGGCCGTGACGAGGATTCGAACCTGCGTCCGGGAGCAGTTTCGAATCCTCGTCACGGCCCTTGTGGATTTGTTCATTTGATGTATCACGTTCGTGTGATCGCTGTGTGTGACTGTTAGGTAACTCTTAGGCAAGTATTGGTAGCTCCCAACTACATCACAACCACAATTGGTGGTTTCCACCCCCCCAACCCACCACCACAATTGCTGGCTCTCCCCCCCCCCATCACCACAATTGGTGGCTCCTCCCCCCCGCCACCACAATTGGTGGCTCCGCCCCTCCCTTCCCCCCCCCCCCACCACAATTGGTGGCTTCTACCCCCCCCCCCCCCCACCACCACTTCCACCCATCCCCCATTGTCATACAGCTAACCCACTTTACGCGTGTTCTGCCCAGCTCAGCCGGGAGGCGCTATAGATCAAAATAATATTACCAGGTAATCGACCTTTACTCTTGTGGCTCTAAATCTGAACCTTGACATTTTACATGTAGTACAGCGAGAGAATTTCTCGTGTTGAGTCCCGTTGGTGGATCAAGTGATGGAAAAGAGACAAAAATCCGAGTTGGTGATTGGAGACGCGAGATCCAGCCAAAAAAAAAAAAAAAAAGAAAAAAAAAATATGACATTTTCCATTGCGTGTTTTCACATTGAGACGAAGTGGAATTTTTTTTTTTTTTTTTTTTTTGTAGGAAATGAATCGAGGCCGAAGTGTGACGTGTGGGGCCCCTTGACACCTGTTGGGGACTGTGTTTGTTTTAGTGTCTTAATGATTCAAACATTTTTGCCTTCGAGGGAGACGGAAGACGTCGGAAGCTGGAGGGAGTAATTCAAGCAGCATTAACTGAAGCGCGAGCCTTAACTGTGCGATATAACCCCGAGGGAACAGTTACTACTCTGCCACCCCTGTGGATGTACTCACCTAGTTATACTCATCTAGTTGTACTTGCGGGGGTTGAGCTCTGGCTCTTTGGTCCCGCCTCTCAACCGTCAATCAGCAGGTGTACAGGTTCCTGAGCCTACTGGGCTCTATCATATCTACACTTGAAACTGTGTATGGAGTCAGCCTCCACCACATCACTGCCTAATGTATTCCATTTGTCAACCACTCTGACACTGAAAAAGTTCTTTCTAATATCTCTGTGGCTCATTTGGGCACTTTGTTTCCACCTGTGTCCCCTTGTGCGTGTGCCCCTTGTGTTAAATAGTCTGTCTTTATCAACCCTGTCGATTCCTTTGAGAATCTTAGTGGTGATTGGTGATCATGTCCCCCCCCCTAACTGAATGTGGTGATCATGTCCCCCTCTAACTCTTCTGTCTTCCAGCGACGTGAGGTTTAATTCCAGTAGTCTCTCCTCGTAGCTCATACCTCTCAGCTCGGGTACTAATCTGGTGGCAAACCTTTGAACCTTTTCCAGTTTAGTCTTATACTTGACTAGATATGGACTCTATGCTCTAATGGACACTATGCTGGGGCTGCATACTCCGGGATTGGCCTGACATATGTGGTATACAACGTTCTGAATGATTCCTTATACACACACATATTTAGAAACGTACGTGTGTGTGTGTGTGTGTGTGTGTGTGTGTGTGTGTGTGTGTGTGTGTGTGTGTGTGTGTGTGTGTGCGTGCGTGCGTGCGTGCGTGCGTGCGTGCGGTCGTGCATGCGTATCCTTATTGGAGTCAAGTTGAAAATTCTCGTAAAGTAATTCGTTTTGCGATAATTGGTGTGAAAATTTGCACAAGATCCCTTGAAAATGGGCACCATACTCGGTATAAATTGGCGATTTTTGGCGCGGAGAGGAAGGGACCGTGTTGGAGGATAATGACGGGGCGATAAGTCATCACTGTTAATGTGATGATCCCACGTGTTCTGATGAGCTCTGGCGATGGGGGGAAGGGGAGGGGAGGGGAGATGTCCTAGGGGGATGTGGACTTACTAGGGACCACGAGTAGTGGTCAGCTTACCTGGTTCTTCATGCGTGAGGAGCTGTGGTCAGGGGCCATCATGGAGTGCTGACCTGGTGTGTCGCTCACTTCTCCTTGTCAACATCAGCGGCTGGGCCTCCACTCCCCACCCCCAAAAGCGAGTAACGGGCACCAACATGGCTTACCCACAACACCTGTCGTAGGTGTATGTGCTGTGACTTTTGTTTTAATTTAATTGTCAATTGCAAAGATGATTCCCAGATTGTCATCGTTGTTTCAGGTCGCTGATGCCGCAGTTAATGTTGTTTGTTGGTCTGTGGGAAGAGGCTAGTGAAGCGTCCACAATTAAGCTCCTGAGGCTGTGGCCCTCTATGCTGCTGGGGCCTTGGCCCTCTATGCTGCTGGGGCCTTGGCCCTCTGTGCTGCTGGGGCCTTGGCCCTCTGTGCTGCTGGGGCCGTGGCCCTCTGTGCTGCTGGGGCCGTGGCCCTCTGTGCTGCTAGGGCCTTGACCCTCTGTGCTGCTGGGGCCGTGGCCCTCTATGCTGCTGGGGCCTTGGCCCTCTATGCTGCTGGGGCCTTGACCCTCTGTGCTGCTGGGGCCGTGGCCCTCTATGCTGCTGGGGCCTTGGCCCTCTATGCTGCTGGGGCCTTGGCCCTCTGTGCTGTTGGGGCAGTGGCTCTCTATGCTGCTGGTCTCATGGCCTTGTGTGTTGCTTCGACAACTCTCAGTTTATTTATTGAAGTCTTTTTACAGGACTGATGCTACAGGACCGCCGAGATCCTCTGTACATTGTTTAATGGCGGGCAAACATGAGGCTCCGCTGGCTGTGTTTATATTTGTGTATTGGCTTACCTGCCTCATCTAGGGGACACCTGTACGACCCTCCTACCTCTAGGGCACGGACAGTTGTGGTTCCTTAGCTGCTCTCCCCTCACCCTGCCCTCCTCTCCCCTCACCCTGCCCTCCTCTCCCCCCTCACCCTGCCGTCCTCTCCCCCTCACCCTGCCCTCATCTCCCCCTCACATTTCTCACCTTCCCCCCTCACCCTGCCCTCCTCTCCCCTCACCCTGCCCTCCTCTCCCCCTCACATTTCTCACCTTCCCCCCTCACCCTGCCCTTCTCTCCCCTCACCCTGCCGTCCTCTCCCCCTCACATTTCTCACCTTTCCCCCTCACCTTGCCCTCCCCCCTCACCCTTCAGACACAGAGATAGATTAGGTGGGTCTCCGCAACTTTGTCTCGTCTAATACAAAGGCTAACATGCAAATTTGATGCAACAAAAAGAGCGTGTTTACCTTGGAGCGAGATCAATGACGGCGTATTTGAGACGCGAGCAGGGACTGGCTGAGCTGTTTTGTCGGCTGCGTGATTGACGCCTCTATGAAGTTGAAAGTGGAAATAGATGAAACCGAACGACCATTTCCTGTCCCCCCCCCCCCCCCCCAGCCCGTCTTGTTTTGCACTGCCGATGCCAATTTTGAAGGTGTGAAATTTAATTATCCATTTCACCCATACGTCTACTTGTTGATATATGCGGTGTACTCACCTAATTGTGCTTGCGGGGGTTGAGCTCTGGCTCTTTGGTCCCGCCTCTCAACCGTCTATCAACTGGTGTACAGATTCCTGAGCCTACTGGGCTCTATCATATCTACATTTGAAACTGTGTATGGAGTCTGCCTCCACCATTTATTAACTACTCTGACACTGAAAAAATTCTTTCTAATGTCTCTGTGGCTCATCTGGGTACTAAGTTTCCACCTGTGTCCCCTTGTTCGTGTCCCACCCGTGCTGAAGAGTTTGTCTTTGTCCACCCTGTCAATTCCCCTGAGAATTTTGTAGGTGGTTATCATGTCTCCCCTTACTCTTCTGTTTTCCAGGGATGTGAGGTTCAGCTCCTTTAGCCTTTCCTCGTAGCTCATTCCTCTCACTTCCGGGACGAGCCTGGTGGCATACCGCTGAATCTTCTCTAATTGGTCTTGGGTTTAACTAGGTATGGACTCCATGCTGGAGCTGCATATTCCAGGATTGGTTGGACATAAGTGGTATACAGGGTCCTGAACGATTCCTTACACAAGTTTCTAAAGGCAGTTCTTATGTTGGCCAGTCTAGCATATGCCGCTGATGATATTCTTTTGATGTGGGCCTCTGGGGACAGGTTCGGTGTGATATCAACCCCCAGATCTTTCTTTCTATTTGACTTGCAGGATTTCACCTCCCAGATGATACCTTGTGTTCAGCCTCCTGCTCCCTTCGCCTAATTTCATTACCATACACTTTCCTGAGTTGAACTTTAGCAGCCATTTTATAGACCATTCCTCCAGTTTGTCCAGATCATCCTGTAGTCTCTATCTATCTTCATCCGTCTTGATTCTTCTCATAATTTTTGCATCATCAGCAAACATTGAGAGGAACGAGTCTATACCTTCCGGAAGATCGTTTACATATATTAGAAACAGGATGGGTCCAAGTACTGAGCCCTGTGGGACTCCGCTGGTGACATCTCGCCACTCTGATGTCTCATCCCCCTCACCGTTACTCCCTGTTTCCTGTTGCTTAAGTACTCCCTTATCCACTGGAGCACCTTCCCTTTTACTCCTGCCTGTTGCTCCAACTTTTTTAACAGCCTTTTATGGGGTACTGTGTCAAAGGCTTTCTGGCAGTCCAGGAAAATGCAGTCGGCCCACCCTTCTCTTTCCAGCCTAATTTTTGTTGCCTGGTCATAGAATTCTATTAAACCTGTGAGGCACGATTTACCATCCCTGAACCCATGTTGGTGGTGCGTTACAAAGTTATTTCCCTCTAGATGCTCTACGAGCCTTTTCCTCACGATCTTCTCCATCACCTTGCATGGTATACAAGTTAGGGAAACTGGCCTGTAGTTCAGTGTCTCTTACCTGTCACCCTTCTTGTATATTGGGACTACGTTGTGTATGTGTATGTGTGTGTGTGTGTGTGTGTGTGTGTGTGTTTACTAGTTGTGTTTACTAGTTGTGTTTTTTGCGGGGGTTGAGCTCTGCTCTTTCGGCCCGCCTCTCAACTGTCAATCAACTGTTTTACTAACTACTTTTTTTTTTTTTTTTTTTTTTTTTCCCACACCACACACACACACACCCCAGGAAGCAGCCCGTGACAGCTGACTAACTCCCAGGTACCTATTTACTGCTAGGTAACAGGGGCACTTAGGGTGAAAGAAACTTTGCCCATTTGTTTCTGCCTCGTGCGGGAATCGAACCCGCGCCACAGAATTACGAGTCCTGCGCGCTATCCACCAGGCTACGAGGCCCCATGTGTGTGTGTGTGTGTGTGTGTGTGTGTGTGTGTGTGTGTGTGTGTGTGTGTGTGTGTGTGTGTGTGTGTGTGTGTGTGTGTGTGTGTGTGTGTGTGTGTGTGTGTGTGGAGGTTTGAATGTGTTTTATTCGTACTCATCTTCTGAAAGATTAACTGCCTAAAAAACTGTGAATGAACAATGCCTAACACCCCGGGCCGTCAAGATCACTGCCTCGAAGCACAAAAAAAATAACAATTGCTTAAGTAAATGTTTTCCCCCGAGTGGACGTGGTCTATTTAATGCCGAACTACAGAAATTAGGTGCATGCTATGAGGCGGGGGCCCTAGAGTTGAAGCTCAACCTACTCAACCACAGCTAGGCTAGATGGATAAATAAGGGTGTCGCAGGCGTGGTGTGGTGTGGTGGTGGCGATGGTGTGGTGGTGTGGTGGCGGTGGTGTGGTAGTGGCAGTGGCAGGCGTGGTGTGGTGGCGGTGGTGTGGTAGTGGCAGTGGCAGGCGTGGTGTGGTGGTGGTGATGGTAGTGTGGTGGAGCAGCGTGGCTGCCAGGCGGCCAGGCCGGGTAAGGGCAGGCAGCCGTCGGCTCAAATCATCATACTTAACCCCTGTTCACGAGTTGTCAATCACTGCGAGCCTTTCAACGGAAGCTGGAGAGTCTGGGAGTCTTGCCGCTCATTACCACCCAAATTGTCGGTCTGGCTCAATTAACCGCTGGCATCAACAACACGCTAAGCTCCTGCGTACCGGAATGGGACTATGGTACTTAGTGCTGCAGAGTGCAGAGAAGGAAGTCTTCTGTGCAGCAAGACGATGCTCTCTCTCTCATCTCCGTCTGAGGCACAGTTGCAATCCTCACATGTCTTACGACCGACTTTTGCACAGGGATGAGCTTGGAACTCATTCCCAGATGCCAGAGTGGATTATATCTGTCTTGATGCCTGGGAAGGGAAGTCTGGGATCTGCCCACCAGACTCCACCATAAGAGCCACTCCGACGCCAGACGGTAAGTGTGAAAATTGCTCCAGTGTGACTAATGAAGCGATTAATGTATGCAGCATCACCATACGTTAGGCCAGATCCCACATTCCCTTACCTGTGATGTGATATTGCCAGCGGTCAGGTGAGGCGCCAGGCTCCGGCGTCTCTGGAGCCCAAGTAACAGCCTGGTGGACCAAACTCTCACAAGTCAAGCCTGGCCTCGAACCGCGCTTGGGGAGTAGAACAACTCCCAGAACCCCATCAAGCAAGCAGGTACCCCAGACAAGGGCACCTCCTAGGGGTTTTCAACCTCAAGTACTGGCAACAGTGATCAACAGCGGTGCCAATTCCAAGAGTCCCAGCAGGGGGGGGACACCAACCACGTCAATCTCAACTCTTCTCATCTTTCCAAAATATACATTTGAGCCAAAACCTGTCATGAAGCCTTTGGAGTGGCCGAAATATATTAAGGTAATTAATGTTGACAAATAACTGCTCTGTGAGATGCCGGTTAGTTTTGCGTCAAGTCTTTCCTTACGCCAGTGACGCCATGACGCAGAATTGACCTCGCGTCATTGAGACAACTACTGAGGGAGGAAGGGATAGTAGTACTTTCTTAATATATGTTTAAACAGTGTCGTTCAGGACGTTAAATTGTGCGTTAACCTGTTGTGTGTTAACCTGTTGTGTGTTAACCTGTTGTGTTAACCTGTTGTGTTAACCTGTTGTGTGTTAACCTGTTGTGTGTTAACCTGTTGTGTGTTAACCTGTTGTGTTAACCTGTTGTGTGTTAACCTGTTGTGCGTTAACCTGTTGTGTGTTAACCTGTTGTGTGTTAACCTGTTGTGCGTTAACCTGTTGTGTTAACCTGTTGTGTTAACCTGTTGTGTGTTAACCTGTTGTGTGTTAACCTGTTGTGCGTTAACCTGTTGTGTTAACCTGTTGTGTGTTAACCTGTTGTGTGTTAACCTGTTGTGTGTTAACCTGTTGTGTGTTAACCTGTTGTGCGTTAACCTGTTGTGCGTTAACCTGTTGTGCGTTAACCTGTTGTGCGTTAACCTGTTGTGTGTTAACCTGTTGTGTTAACCTGTTGTGTTAACCTGTTGTGTGTTAACCTGTTGTGTGTTAACCTGTTGTGCGTTAACCTGTTGTGTTAACCTGTTGTGTGTTAACCTGTTGTGTGTTAACCTGTTGTGTGTTAACCTGTTGTGTGTTAACCTGTTGTGTGTTAACCTGTTGTGCGTTAACCTGTTGTGTGTTAACCTGTTGTGCGTTAACCTGTTGTGCGTTAACCTGTTGTGTGTTAACCTGTTGTGTTAACCTGTTGTGTTAACCTGTTGTGTGTTAACCTGTTGTGTGTTAACCTGTTGTGTTAACCTGTTGTGTGTTAACCTGTTGTGTGTTAACCTGTTGTGTGTTAACCTGTTGTGTGTTATATTTACGCAAAG